CACCTAAACTACTGTATAAACCAAGCTTGTATTTAATTTATTTTGTTTTCTAAAATTAATGTACAGTGTATGTGACTAATATCTTGAAAAGAAGCCTATGGGCTTTTTTTTTTAGAAGGGCTTCTTTTCAAGGCTAATTTTGCAAACTAAAAATTGGGAGGGGGCTTCAATTCAAGATGGGCTCCATCTCGAGATTAAACCCAGTAGGCTTCAATTCAAGGACTTACAGTATGTTTATTATTACATTTTTTCTAGGAATTTCCTATGAGGATTATCGTCAGCTGTTGCATGATATATCAGAATGGTATGATGGAATTGGATCCATCAGTATGCTGAAAGTATTGTACAGAGATCATGTGACTGATGTTAGTACACTAGATAAAGCTAATAAGATGCGTAACTTACTGGATAACTTGCATGCTTCTGGGAATCTGAGTCCAACAGATCTTAGTATTCTGTATGATACCATAAATATAACTAAACAATTTGGATTCAAACCAAAGAATGAGGATCTGCTTCCACTTTTCCAGAATGTTAAGAATTTAACAGTATCAAAATTCACATCGTACAGGCAAAAGCTGGTAAAACTAGGAATGAGATTGAATGAAGAGGATGTAGCAATGCTGAATGGTTCATTTAACACACTACTCAAGAAATATGAAGACAGATGGCATTTGATTAGGGATCTAGAGCACAGAAGAGAAATTTGTGAAGAAAATATGAAAGCATTTATTGAAAGGTTGAAGAAACTCAAGCTCTTTTCAGCTGTGGAAGCTCTTTTAGAAGGTAAATTTAATCTGGGATCTATGACTTTATTAAACACCTTACAGACTAACAAACTTCATTGAAAATATTCACAAGCTTTTGTCCATGCTGTGGACTTCTTCTTAGTTGTTGATTGACAGTTACTGTATATTTTATCTATTCCCAGATGCCCTACAAATTAGTCTGAAGTTGTTGTCTGATGTAAAATATTGCCGTTCTAGGCCTCTGTAGGTTATTTTTATTCCATCTGATGAGTATTAAAAAAAAAATAAAGAAATTTTTCACGGCCCCTTTTTATCATTTTAAAAAAGAAGTTCAAACAAACCATTTAGATCCAGGTGATACTTAAGTCCTTAGATAAAATGAAATATTCAAAAGTAAAAACACTTAACAATTATTCAATTTTTTACAGATGATGAACTCAAACCAACAGCATCTAAAAGACAAAAGTTGATGTTGAAAGGTGACCAAGGTATGGCCCTTAAGTATGGTCCCTTGTTATTTTGTGCCGATTTTTTGCATGTGTCACAAAATAGAAAAATCGATCGAACTAGGCCTTTTTCAAGAGCCTTTTGATAACGTCATTCAAAAAAAGTTATGTGCTCCAATTATACAGTAAGTTTGAGAAAGTAAAAATAAATGTCTCATTCTAATATCATTTAGAATATAAATGATATTTTAACTAAAATTTGACCATAGTTTGACTGGTTTAACATTTAATGAAGATGAGAGAAAAGACCCAATACCTAGCGAGTAGGCCAAGCTAGGCCTCTGTTTCATTCGCGATCGCACTTGATCTACCTATGGTTGAACAGGACAATAGAATGCTTAAGATCCATTAATATTTTATCAAAAAAGAATCGTAATCTTGGGAGTACATTGACATCTTAAATGTGCTAAAATCTCACTAGTCCCCATTCTGCAGCGGTTTTTATTTTATTTCAACAATCTTATTGAGGGTGGTCCATCCAGCTGAAGCTGATCATTAGAGACCCTCAATACACAAAGTAAAACAAAACAAAAAAGAGTATGAAACCAATTAATTTACAGTAATATACTGTTAATAACAACCTTTCAATTCAAAATTAACATAATGAATTTGAGGCATGCAGACGCCATTTTGTCTACTACTACAGAACTTTATGCTGTAGTTCTCCTGGATTCGCCACTGGAATGCAAAATATTAATTTTGAATATACAAATAGATAACATTAATTTCATTTTGGCCTTAGTAGTTCTTAAACAGTTAAATACAAATATACATATATTAAATACAAACTTATAGATAAGAATATTTACAGATGAACATAGTAATCTTTACATAATAATTATTTATCTTTAATTTTTGCCAGATGCTCTACAAATTAGTTGAAAGTTGTTGTCTGATGTGCGATATTTCCCACCCGCCCCTTTCTATCATTTTAAAAAATGAAGGGCAAACAAACAATTTTTTTTAGGCCTAATGTTTAGGCCTAGCTAGCTGATGCTTTGAGCCCAGGCAATGCCTAGAGCACATAATATATGATGCTTAGACCCAGGTGATGCTCAGTCCTTAATTTAGATGAAATATTCAAAGTAAAAACACTCAACTATTCATTTTTTACAGATGGCGAACTCAAACCGACAGCATCTAAAAGACGAAAGTTGATGTTGGAAGGCGAACGAGGTATGGTAAAGTAATTTAACTGCAAATTAACCCCTATTATGGTGTAAATCTATTCTCACATTTTGTTAATCAATGTACTGTACTGCTGTTCTACCAATAAAACTGCAAAACTTAATGTCAGTAATTACAATAGACAAGCGCCCTCCTTGGGCATGAATGTCGCGACATGAACTCATGTTTTCACATTGAACTTAAAAAAATTATCTGAAAATCATATTGTATGAAAATCTTAAACCATTAATACTGTAGTATCACCATTAAATGTGCTGAAATAAAGGGAAAAAACAGTGGCTTTTAATTATTGATTTAAACATCTTGAACTCATTTATTGAGACAAAGAAATTTACAAATGAAAAAATTAATGTGATTTCATCTAGTGTTGTAAGCAAGGATTTATTTGTTACTGTATATTGGACTCTAAAGATGGTTTTTATCATGTACCTGTAGCCAAAGACCATCAAAAAACAATATCAGTGGAAAAAACAATATTATTGTTGGACAAGGGTTCCATGTGGTCTTGCATCACCATAATTTTTTTGCAAAAACGTTGAGGCCAGTTCTTACCAATGTGCATACACGTGGGATACGCACTGCGCTATTCGTTGATGATTGGTTTTTGGCAGCTGATCGCAAACGTCCAGTGCAGACGTATCCACAGCAGGTTGGGCATCGTGGGTAAAAAGTCATGCAGCAGGCTTTTGGAACAAAAGACTAAAAAACATGCCTTCCAATTAAAAAAGAACTGAGCGCTGCGCTGATGGCACTTTTCTACAAAGGGAAATCATACATCAGTACATACATTCATAAATCTGCCAAAAATTTAACAGGACGAGAAAATGCGGAAGCTGACACTTTCAACATTGAACCTAAGATACGAATGGAGGCTACATACAATATTGTTCCAATAGCTAGATGAAATGTGGCATCTGCATGCATATTCTTTCTGCAGTACACAGCAATATAGATTTCTTTTAGCCAATAGAACATAGGAAACCACGATGACGTGAACACGTAATCGTTCGCTCTGATTAAAAAAAACAAAAAACTCCAAAAAGTCGAGTATGGATCCTTTTTGTGTGGGTGAGGATGATCAGTCCAAAGTATCTAGTAGTATACTCTGTGCAATGACAAACAGGTATTGACCGTCTAAAAGAACCTAAGATTTATGATGTAGCCTACACAAACGAGAAACAAAACATCATCATCATTTTCCCAAACTACTAGGCAAGCCTATAGTCTAGGCTTAGCTAGTCTACTACTACTACCGTATTACCCTAGCCAGGGACTATGGCATGGAAAATCCTGGATCCACGCCTGGCATGGCCTACTACTGTGTGAGATTATCATCATCCTTTGGTGGTAATGTACATTGATGAGCATGTGATTGATCAATTTGCCTCGTTAAAACAGCAGGTTCCCAGATCTGAGGGAGTCGACACACTAGTGCAGCAGAATTGGGGTACAGAAAACAATAAACATTAACCACACCACTGTGCCCAGTAAACATGGTTTCAAACACTAAAACAACTATCAATTGCAAAACCGCTAGTTCTAACCAAATCGCAGCACGCAATGTGTTTAAGAGGGCCAATACCAGAGCTGGTAAACATCCTGAAATGGCAACTTAAATATATACAAAGATATTGAATGATTTTTTTGGAAAAAATATATAAGCTCATGACGACCCATCGTATTACTCTACAGTAATTCTCTTTTAAAAAATGTCTCAAGACAATAATAACTCCCTACAAAAATTTTAAAGCAAGGTACCACCTCATTGATAGACATGAAAACCAAAGCTCCAAACAATTCATTCTTGTTTCTTTGTTCTTATTATTAGAATGAGTTGCCCCTTATCGTACATAAATCACCCTCACAAAAATGTTTAAATGAATAATTGAAATTTTTTGCAAAGGTTAAAAGGTTCTTAAAAGACATATTCAGTGAGTGTCCAGAGCTGATACAGAATGAGTATCTGAATGTTAACTTTGATTGTTTCTGTGTTGCTCATAAATTACAGTAATTACTCTTTATAGTATGTTGATGTTTTATTGTTATCGAATGTGGAGATTTTTTTAAAAAGTGTCATATAATAGAAATATAAAAAAGCATAATATATAAGTCAATTATAGAATTTATATTTGGCATGGAGAATCCCATCAATGAGGATGAAGATATTTTAATAACATAAAAATATTCTACCGTTTTTCTACCCTGTTACGAGACAAAGTGATAATATAACATTGAATTGCCTGTAAAAAACATGCTGCGAACAACTACAAAAATTTTAGTAGAACAGTACGTTGTTGCATGTACAAAGTATTGTCATAGAGAATATGTCTTTCTTTTTGTGACCTATTGTACCATTCTCCTGGCAATGTGGTATTTGCATCATTTCGCTTGCTGCCTATGAAGAATTATTAATATTTTTCTCTTCTTATCTAGATACCGTTATCAAAAATTATCTACTCAAAAGACAAAAGAATTTGTGCTGCCATGTCAACCGGTTCACACCAGCTACTTTTAATACATTATACCAAGTAGATATTGCCAATATGTTTACTGATCTGGAGCTACTGAAAAAAAATAAGAAAGAAGGAAAGCCAGTAAAATTACAGGAGCTTTTAGATGTTATCAAATCCACACCAGCATGTAGAACTCTCATAGAAGGTGAAGGTGGTATTGGCAAATCAACTCTTCTCAGGTACTTAGCATACAACTGGGCAAATGATTTAGATAAAACATTTGAAGGTAAAATTGTGTTTCTGATAAATGTCAGAGATATTGGCAAAGGTGAGGATATTTTTAATGTAATTTTGAAACAAAGTAATCTAAATGATTTTGAAATGAAAACTTATCTTCCGAAGGATCCGATGTTAATAAAAAGATTCATATTAAGACATGATGATGAGATTGTATTGTTGTTAGATGGATTGGACGAATTAGAAGATGGAAATGTATGTCCAATAAGCCTTTTTAAAAAAGAGGAATTTGAAGACAGCAATGTGATACTTACATCTCGATCAGAAAACATAAATGAATTTATTAAAGAGAGCAGTATTCATGTGAAAGTAAAGGGATTCGATGCTAAGAACATAAGAAAATATATTAAGAAACACTTTGATTACCTTGAAGAACCTGAACTAGGAGATTCTCTTGCCAAAGAGTTAAACCTAACTAAACATCAGGAAGTATATTCAATGTGTAAGAATCCAATGTTACTACTCTCAGTATGTACTATGTGGGAGGACAAGCAGGGTCTTCCAACTAATAAAGCTGATCTTTTTAAAGAGGTTTTTCGCAGCATTTTGAATCAGTTCAACAAACAAGAAGGCAATGCCACAAAAATCACTAAATTCAGTGATACTCCCATTGAGTATGTACATGCAATGCTTATGTTAGGAAAGTGTATGTATAAAAGTTTAAAGAGAAACCAACTCTCGATAAACAGTAAAGATTTAGAAGGAAAAGAAGAAATGGTTCAACTGGCTTTAAAACTAGGATTTGTCTACCTAGATGAACCACATTCAAAAACTTATTTTGAACAATGTTTTACAGCTTCTCACAAGTTGATGGTAGAGTCATTGGTAGGATTTTACATTTCAAAACTATGTCAGAGTGCAGGTTTAAAGAATAAGTGTGCAGAGGACCTAAAACATTTACTTGCTCCATTGGATGAGGATGAATGGGAGATTATAAGAGAAAATGAATATTTAGAAATGGCAAGAACATTTACAATAGAATTCCTTGGTGCTGATGTGGGAAAATTTTTTATTCACTGGTTGACAAAAGATCTCTCAACATATCGCTCTCTAATGAAGAATTATTTAGGATCGGTGAAAGCAGAGCACCAGGTTTCTGTTGAAGAAGCACTAATTGATCACATGACCAAGACACACTTAAAAATACAACCACATGTTAATGGCATATGTAAATCACTTATGAGATATATTCTGGCATATGTAAATCACTTATGAGATTTATTCATCATATTAATCCATCTTTAGAGGTATTTGAAGATGAGCATTTTATTAAACTTACGAGAATAATTTATGACATGAAGCTAAGGCCATCAGTTACACCACCTCGTTTTAAAAGTTTATGTAACAAAATGTCACCTGAAGAAAAAGCCAAAATGCTCGCTCACATACTGTTTGCTATACGAGATGAAACTTATATGTTAGAAAATATTATCCCTAAAGTATGTGCTGATGATGATATTAAATACCTAACAGCTGAATTTCAGAAACTTGATTTGCATTATGATATTAGATGTTATAAAGTATTTAAGAAAAGTTCAATTACTGCTGTATTTTTATTTCATCTTTTGACTAATTCACCAAAACTTATAAGTCTGACCTTAAGGCTTTGTATTACAGGTGATGTTATGAATGATGTGAGCAGAGAGCTTTCAAGTAGAGGGATCAAGTTAGGATTACAGTTTTTTTATATCAATAATAATAATCTCAGTACAATTAATGGTGCTTCACTGGCTTCTTTAATGTCAGTTACTCCACAACTGAATGACCTTAACTTGAGCAACTGTAGTTTAACAGGTGATATTATGAATGATATGACCAGAGAGCTTCTAAGTGTAGGAGCCAAGTTAGGATTACAATTTCTTTATGTCAGTGGTAATAATCTCAGTACGATTAATGGTGCTTCACTAGCTTCTTTAATGTCTCCACAACTGATTCAGCTTCAATTGAGCAACTGTAGTTTAACAGGTGATATTATGAATGATATGACCAGAGAGCTTCTAAGTGTAGGAGCCAAGTTAGGATTGCAATTACTTTATGTCAATGATAATAATCTCAGTACAATTAATGGTGCTTCACTGGCTTCTTTAATGTCAGTTACTCCACAACTGAATGACCTTAATTTGAGCAACTGTAGTTTAACAGGTGATATTATGAATGATATGACCAGAGAGCTTCTAAGTGTAGGAGCCAAGTTAAGATTACAATTTTTTTATGTCAATGGTAATAATCTCAGTACGATTAATGGTGCTTCACTGGCTTCTTTAATGTCAATTACTCCACAACTGATTCAGCTTAAATTGAGTAACTGTAATTTAACAGGCAATATTATGAATGATATGACCAGAGAGCTTGTAAGTGTAGGAGCCAAGTTAGGATTACAATTACTTTATGTCAATGATAATAATCTCAGTACAATTAATGGTGCTTCACTGGCTTCTTTAATGTCAGTTACTCCACAACTGAATGACCTTAATTTGAGCAACTGTAGTTTAACAGGTGATATTATGAATGATATGACCAGAGAGCTACTAAGTGTAGGAGCCAAGTTAGGATTACAATTACTTTATGTCAATGGTAATAATCTCAGTAAAATTAATGGTGCTTCACTGGCTTCTTTAATGTCTCCACAACTGATTAACCTTAAATTGAGCAACTGTAGTTTAACAGGCGATATTATGAATGATATGATCAGAGAGCTTTTAAGTGGAGGGGTAAAGTTAAAATTCAAGGATCTTTATATCGATGGTAATAATCTCAGTATGATTACTGGGGCTTCACTGGCTTCTTTAATGTTAATTACTCCACGATTGTTTAAGCTTAAATTGAGTAACTGTAGTTTAACAGGTGATATTATGAATGATATGATCAGAGAGCTTTCAAGTGAAGGGGTCAAGTTAAGATTACAGTGTCTTTATATTGATGGTAATAATCTCAGTATGATTAATGGTGCTTCACTGGCTTCTTTAATGTTAATTACTCCACAACTGGACGAGGTTAAATTGAGCAACTGTAGTTTAACAGGTGATATTATGAATGATATGAGCAGAGAGCTTTCAGGTAAAGGGATCAAGTTAGCATTTAAATCTCTTTATATTGATGGTAATGATCTCAGTACGATTGATCTTGTTTCACTGGCTCCTTTAATGCCAATTGCTGAACAACTGTTTCAGCTTAAATTGAGCAACTCTAGTTTAATAGGCGATATTATGAATATGATATGATCAGAGAGCTTTCAACTGCAGGGATCAAGTTAGGATTACAGCTTTGTTATATATTAATGGTATTAATCTCAGTTACGATTAACGGTGCTTCACTGGCTTCGTTAATTACTCCAAAACTTATTCAACTTACGTTGAGTAACTGTAGTTTAACGGGCGATATTATAAATGATATGAAGGTATCAAGTTAGAATTTGTGTCTGTGTTTTCAATGAAAATAATCTCAAAATGATTAATGGTTTTTTACTGGCTTCTTTAATTTAAATTACTCCAAAATTGATTGAGCTTAAATTGAGCAACTGTAGTTTAACAGGTGATATTATGAACAGGCTTATGATCAAAGAGCTTTAAAGTGGAGATGTCTATTATTAGACATAATTATGATTAAAATATAATAAGCCACTATATAAATGACTAAATTAGATTAGATAATAATCTCAGTATGATTAATGGTTCTTTACTGGCTTCTTTAATGCAAATTATTACAAAATTGATTGAGCTTAAATTGGAACATACCAACGTGGAATTCTTGGAAAAATATTGTTGTGTCTACAGCAAAAGTAGATATCGGAACAAAAAAAAATTAATCAAAATCGAAAGCCTTGGTTTGATAAAAGAGGTTCATCAAGCAATTAAAGAAAGGCAGGCACCTGCTAAAGCTCACAGGTGTTGGATTAAACTAAATAATGCTAATGATGCTGCCACTGAAATTCTTTGGCAAATTTATCAAGAAAGGCGTGAATTAAACAAAAAATAACAAAGACAAGAGTTAAATAATCACTAGATATAGCAAATAAAGGTGGACCCTCATGATGGGATTTCTGGAAAATTCTTAGAGGCTCGGATGATAAACATAAAATATCTTTTATTTGCATAAATTTACCCCAATTAGGTGAAATAATTACAGAGAAGGAAAATATTTTAATTACAATAAAAATTGTAGAACATTTATCAACAAAAAAAAATTGCTAAAGAGATGCGTGATCAAGATTATGATGATGATTCTGTGGATGAAAACTTGTTATTAGACATGGATTTAAATTAGACATAAATATTATTAATAAGGCACTTTCGATTGCCAAAAACAATAAAGCACCAGGGAAGATGGGATAACTAAATGAGCTCCTCAAAAATGGAGGAAAACCCCTTGGAAATATACTTCTGAAGTTGTTTAATAAATTAATACAATTGGAGAAAATCCCTGATGAATGGAACATGGGAATTTTTAAAAAAGGTGATTGTAAAGACCTTAACAACTACAAGGGTATCTCACTAACATCCTGTATGTCTAAGATATTCAACAAAGTAATTGCTATGCAAATCTGTAACTACGTAGAGGAAGAGGTACTATCAGAAATTCAGGGAGGATTCAAGTCGCTACATAGGTGTGAAGATCACATTTTGACTATTAAAAGTATTTTAACCTGTCGTTCCAAAGAAGGAAAAACTTCTTTGTAACAGTGGATTGGGTGTGAGAATCAGTGGTGTTGTTGGGGGGGGGTGGGTGTTACTATGGGCAAACGATGTGGTTCTGATTGCAGATAATGAATGTGAAATGACAAAGATGTTAGATATTGCAAGCAAGTTTACAAAAGAATGGAAATTGGAATATAATTTGAGAAATCCAATATATAATGGTAGTCGGTAAACATGTTGATAAAGACAAACAATAGAATCTAGGTGATTAGTTCATCACAGAAGTACTGTAAATAATTATAAATACCTTGGAACCTATTTATCTAACAACTTCGGTGAACATACCCATTATGTAATTTAAAAAAAGGCAGTCGATTAATTGCTTATATAAATGCAGTTATTGACAATTTTGATGACTTTAACCATGTTCACTATGGTAGGTGTTTGGGGGGGGGGGGGGGTTACTATGGGCAAACGATGTGGTTCTGATTGCAGATAATGAATGTGAAATGACAAAGATGTTAGATATTGCAAGCAAGTTTACAAAAGAATGGAAATTGGAATATAATTTGAGAAATCCAATATATAATGGTAGTCGGTAAACATGTTGATAAAGACAAACAATAGAATCTAGGTGATAAGTTCATCACAGAAGTACTGTAAATAATTATAAATACCTTGGAACCTATTTATCTAACAACTTCGGTGAACATACCCATTATGTAATTTAAAAAAAGGCAGTCGATTAATTGCTTATATAAATGCAGTTATTGACAATTTTGATGACTTTAACCATGTTCACTATGGTAACATACCATGGGAGACTATTGGTCTTCCATCAATTAACTATGCTTGTTCTGTTTGGTACAATACTTTATCTAACGATAATAATAAATTACAACAATTACAAATGCAAATGGCCAGATATCTTCTAAAGGCCCCACTCTGTACACCCCAGGCATCACCTTATGGTGATCTGGGATGGACACCAATCTAAACTATACATAATATATCCAAGACAGTTTCTACTTCGTATTGTTGATATGCACACAAATTGGTGGCCAAAAGTAATATTAAATGCCATGTTGTATTTGAAATGTGACTGATTTGTTAAGGTATAAATTTTTAAATGGTGCTAAAAAGATTCTTGATCAATGTGAACAAGAACATTTTTTTTTTTACTTGTACTACCAATCAAGTCCCGAAACATTGACTCAGAAATTCTAGATGGTGTCCGGCAAGGGATAGTTTTACCTCTACAATTTTTTTATTCTTAGTGATATAGTCTCTATAGAGGCTGCAAAATTTCACTAAAGAAACCTTGACATTATTTTTCTGCGTGATTTGTCAAAACTAAGAGCTTGTCAGGGTCCCTTATAGGTGGATAGATATATCCTCTCTGTAAAATGTAATGTTTTCTAATACGTAATACCAGCAAGAATACTATGCCCTTTAAGGACATAGTTTATTTTTAAAAAAAGGTTAAAAAAAAATAAGTTAAAAAAAAAAGTAATGAATAAAATGATTAATGGTTATAAATATTGTATAGGTACCCTGTTGCTTTTGATATTAATAAAAATG